TTTCCCCTTTTCCATCTTATAAATCCTCCTCAAAGCCCAGATCTACCCATCTCCCTTTATCACATGAGTATCTTCTCCCACTGTATCGCTACACCCACTCATGCTGTGATGTAACCTCAAAGCACAGTTATCTGGATATGGCCCTTTCTATTCTTTCAGCGCTGCAATCTGATTTTTTCATAATTTAATCGTTTCTTTTTCTAATTAAATGTTGTTTAATATGGTAGATTAATAAACAATGCCTTGAGTGTCACGACACCAACACCAAGCAGATAGAGTTCCATTAAACCAGTGGCCCCTCAAGTCCTGTTGCTGGTGACACTTGCTGGGGGTGCCTTCAGACTTTTGGCAACACTTGCACAGAATAAAACCACACTGTATAGGCTGCAACACAAACAGCAAATCCAGTCATTTCAAAGTGGTTGTGCCAGTATTTTGAAATTGAAATGAAGAACAAAAAAACCTAAACCAAACAACTTGTCTCTTTACAGACAGAATGGAACCATTATCTCCATTTCCATCAGTACATGGCCATATCCCTGCTGACCTGATTGTGGCTGGAACCACTCCCACGGCACATGACTTTGTCCCACACTCTGGGAGTTGGTAGAGATGTTTCCTGTTGCTTCATACAAAACCAGACCCCCAACAGTGCAAAACCAGCCCAAACACCCCTGCATGGCTTCCAGACCCCTCTGTTGCCCCGCACGAGCTATTTCATGGCCCAGGTACTGTCCTGATCTTCAGAAGTTTTTTAGTCACCAAAATCCACTGGCTGCCAGTGAAGTAATCCCGAATCCCAGCAGCTGTGTACAAGGAGATTCAAACCTTTACCACTCACTCTGGGTGCATGCATGCTGGAGGCAGGATTTCCAAGGTGTCTGACCTTACACTGCACAAATAGATACCCCTTTTTTCCCTTGCACAGAGCTACAAGTAGGGAGTCAATGGAATGAAGCAGTTCTCCATGGCTGTGTATAATACTTGTAGCTGCTATGGCACTCCCAAAGCCCACCCACAATTTCATTTTCAATTAGCAGCTCTTAGAAAAGCAGTAATGAAAGCAGTTGCTAAAGAGCACTCAGATGTCATTGAGAGACTGCAAACCCAAACTGTAAATAGCACATTGTAAATCGCTTGTCACCACAGGCAGCTCTCCCCGGGCTCACACTGCCGGTGACAATCAAACCCATCTGCTCCCGTCCCGACCACTGTCACCACAGCCCAGGGAGCAAACACCCACCTCCCGCTATGCTCCCATTACCTGTCAGGTATGGGCTTGTCTGAGAGCCTGCAAAAGCCACTCTGGCTGTGGGTGTGATTAAACGCTCATCACACCCTCCACACCACGGGTTTGCTGCACTAAGGCACCAAGTGTGCTGTCCCTGAATCCACAGCACAATTAATGACACGATGCTCACGAGCCACAATGGCAGGGCACAGTGATGGCCACTCAGATCAGCCACCAAAAGCAGTCTCAAATGTAAGATGTATAAATTCGGGGTGAGGCTGCCAAGGAGATCGTGGACTTAATCCTGACAGCTTCAGTCCTTCCCTCCCTCCCCCTTAATTGATCCATGTAATGCACTACGAGGTGAAAGCTAATAGTTTATAATGCTTGTAGCTGATGGCTGCCAGAGCCAGTGGGGTACCTTTTGCTGCTTCCCATTTTGCCTTTATCTCATTAAAATTTACCTCCTAATTCATCTCTCCATCATGAGTTTTATTCCCTTTATTCATCATCCACCCTTTATTTATTACCATTTGTCTCCTTCCCTGCCGTCACACGGTATCTGGGATTGGGATTTGATATTCTGCAAGTGTCTTTGGGATCAGGTGGTGCAGGCAGAACCCAGCAGCTCTCATACAGACATAGTCAGCTAAGACCCCTTGCTGGTTTAGAAGCATTTCCAGAGACGATCCTTTTCTGCAAGAAGATGCAAGAATCTCCCAGCAGATGAACAAAACAATGAAGGAAATGGTGGAGGTAGCAAAAGTCAGTGTCTTCTGCTCTTTCCAAAAGACACACCCACTGAACAAAGATCCTTCCCTCTCATTATCAGAATACTCTCAACACTCCTTCTGCCCTGAAAACTCATTGTTTCCTGGTATACCCCACTGTGCTCAGACCTCAAGGAATAAAAACTCATTAAAATCCATTTAAAAATGTTTGCCACCATTTTACTAGTTTAAAAATGTTCACTTTAAGATTTCCAAATGATTTTTACAGAAAACATATAAAAACATGCCACCACCAATTAACGTAAAGGAAATTAAATTTAAGACGCTGGAGAAATATTCTGATGAGTCTTATGTTTGCTTAATGCCAACTAAAATTTCCTTGAGGCATTTAATAAGTACATTTATAAAAGCTCACAAAGCAGAGTTCAAAAGTCTTCTCGCTAGTAAAATATGAGCCTTAATTAACCTACAGTTTCACATTTTCTGGATTTCAATAAACCTGTAGGCATTTCAGCAGAGCTGGATAAATACCTGCATGAACACTGCAAGGATTTTCTCTGAAAACTAATTAGCAGTGCTTTCAATAGCTGACTTCAACTAAATCTGTTTGACGAGGGAGCTTCATACCCTAAATCCTGCAGTGAGAGTTACTTCCAGCAGATAACAGATTTCACAGAAAAGAATATCCACCAGGACTGTCCACCACTGGGGAAACTACAAACAAGATCTCCAGGTATAAAACATCTCCCAGCAGGGACAGACTGCAGCCAAGGTCTTATGCCAGCACAGGAAGGCAAGGGACTGCATTAGGATTGCATCCTGCCACCCAGTTACAGTATTCACATGTGGCAATTCAGGATTCCCCCAGGGACAGGAGAGGCAGGATAAATTATTTATATATAAAATACATCGCCCTAGTATAGGACACCATATACATCCAGAAGTCTCCTGAACTTTAAATGGCTCTGGACACTCCTACTGTGTCAAGCACAAACCACAGTGGCCCCAGTTCTTGGATTGTTGCCATCTGAGAAGGTTGACAATCAACTCTACTTCCCCTCCAAGAGCCCAGGAATTCAGTGGGATGGACCTGGATGGGGAAAGCAACCCAAGGTGTGCAGCCAAGAGTCACTCGAGGAGGAAAAGTGTAACATTATCAGGGAAAATCACCCTCAGAACTTATCACTCTCCTCCTTCTTTTGAGGTCTGCACCATTTGTCTTGAAAGAAGACAGAAAATGCTTACCACAAACTCTCTCTATAAAAGTGGTGGGCATGCCTCTCCAAAGAACTTTATAGTCTTTTCCATGACATCTTTTTTCCATGTCTAAGTGCCAAAGCCTCATAGGTCTGTCAGCACCTACACTGTTCATGAGACTAAAATGCTCGTATCTGAGGAGCTACACCCCTCCCAAATGTATTAAATTTATATTGAGCAAGATATTTTATTTCCTCTCAGTCTGATCCCTCAGGAATTAGTCAGGGTACTCAGATTTATCAGCTCAAAGGAAAAGAGCATTTTCCATGACATTTGTCAACTCATTACCTTCCAAGACAGTGTATATTTACTCCAAAAAACATAACCTCACAAATAACCTCCATCAGCAGTGAGGCTGATTTCCTTCATAGCTGAAATTCCGGGCAGAAAGGCTCCACCTGACAATAGGCCACACCAGAGGAGTCAAACAATGCAAAAAGTCAGTTCTACAGAGGCCAGTTCCTCCTGCCCAAAGCAGGTCCATTTACCATCTGACAGACCAAACCAGAACAGACACAGGAAACAGTCAAGGAAACACAGCAACCTTCAATACCTGTTTACAACATAACCATTGCATCAACTATCCTGAAGAGTTTTCCCCACCTCCCTTTGAAATATCAAGTAAAATTAAATTAGAAGAAATACCTTTAACAGCTGTGGTAGTGTAGAATAGGCATTTTTACAATTTGTGTGCTCTGCTGAAGTACTGTATAATCTCTGATTTTACTTCTATAGACAGTGTAGGCTTAAAAATCATCATGAAAACCTATTTTTTCCCAGCTTCTGTAACTCTGAATATCAAAATTGAATACAAGTCAGCATACTTGTCATCCTCAATGTTCCTTCCATTTCCCTGAGCTCACAAAATGAGAAGCAGTGAATTCTCACTATTTTCTACAAGTTTCTCCGCAAAGCAACGTTTGGTTTGCACTAAACGAGGATGAAAAATGATTCCAAATATCAACCATCCCCATTAGACATGTAAATTTTGGTTCAAGGCTCATAAACATGACTCAAATGTAGGCAAAAGCTGACCTTTTTACTATTACCTCTTTTTTCTGCATCTGCATCATAGAAATCACACTTGTCACACTTTCTTCTTTTTTAAAAAACATAGCAAACACGACACTGCACAGTCATGAAGAAGAACCCAATGTTTCCAGCCTCAGGCTTTGCAAGCCTGGATGTGACCTGCTCACTCTTGCCACATGTGTGCCACAGCTACCCTGGAAGGGAACAACACTGCTGGGAAGGCAGAAGTTCTTGCTTAGGGCAGGTTCTGAGTAACCCAGAGGAGCAGAACCAGTGCCACTGACACCCTACAAACGAGCTCCTCACATTTAATCAGTCTCAGAGCTTTGCCTTGATGAACAGTTGCCCTTCTTGCAATTACCTCACCTTGCCCTTGGCATTCAGAGGGGTCTTGTGCTTCCCTGAACAAAGTCTAGAGACTAGAATGCATATTTATAGGACAAAGTTGGCCTTGCAGTGTAACAGAGAGACCACATTTGTTTGCCCTGATATCCTCACAGCCAGCCTGTGGAAAGCTCTCCCAAGCCTTGCACATTTATTAATCAGATCAGCTCCACCATCAATCCACCTGCTCAGCCCATCTCCTGCACTGGCAGGACACAGCACCGAGTGCCACCCGAGAGCCTGAGAACAAAACAACCACCAAAGGATTCAAATAAGTGATCCCACAAAATGAGGAATTGGCTTCTACCTACCATGTGCCAAGAGCCAAAGCCCTCCCTCCCCGCAGCAGGTGACTTGTGTCCCACCTGTCTGAGGCCCTTGGGTAATTTCTTCCTTTTCCCGAGGTGCTGGCACAGGTTACGGTCATTTTCCCGGTCGGAGCTGTACTGGTGGTGGTGGAGTCTGTTCTTTTTGGGAGGGTACGACAGCCCATTGGTAAGTGCTTCCCGTTTCTTCTTGGCTAGAGGGTTCTGTCTCTTCTCCACACGTTCCTGAGGTTTCAGAGCTACGTCCTTCTGCAGAGGGAGAAGGAGGGAGAGAAAAAGACAGCCGTTAAGCCACAGCTCTGATTTGCTTACCCTCCTGAAGCAGCAATTCCAAGTGACCAGCAAAGAATTCTAGAGGCAACACTACAGTCACCAGAAAAGGAAAAAAACCCAGCCTTCACTGATGTTCTCTAACCACTTCACAGGCAAACGCAAAATGAAGTCGGTCAGGTGAAGTGAGAGCACAGAAGCAAACATATCCTCCTTGAGGTTCATACCATCAACCTCACAATTCTCCGAAACATCTCATGCATCAGGTGAACACACATTCAGAAGACATCATATGTTTATAATGTTTAAATTACCAATCTGCTTTGATTTAAACAATGCTCCATTTTCATATTTATTCTTATTATTTCTTGTATTTGACAAGCCAAGGCACGAGCTGACCTAAATCCAGTTAGGGCCAATGAATCTCCATTGACTTAAGGGGATGTTTCCCTCAAGCCTGACTTAAGCAGTAGATTTCCAAATCTCAGGGAGGGGGGTGAAAAGTGCACAAACAAGCAGCTTGTATTTGAAAACTTTGTTACTGACCCTTTAACCCTCAGAATCAATGTCTGCCTGTAAAAAACACTCCAGTCTTGTAACACAAATGTGAGTTTTCTCACTTAGCCCACAGCTATTTTCTTACTGATAATCTGCAACACGCAGAACCCCTGTTTTCATTTCAAATAAATATTACTTGAATCTTTTTCAATAACACAGAATTAAATGCAGAGGAAGAGGAGGCTGGAGAATTCATTAGGAGAGAAGAACTATTGGAAAGATGTTAATTATAGTGCATACTGTGCATCTAACAAATCCAATCTGCTGAGTCACATCTCCTCCAAGAACTCCCCCCATGAGGGTCTGGTATTGCCATGGGAGGGGCAGGAAACAGTTGAATACTTTCAGCCTCTCTGCTCACAATGCTGGCTGCTTTGACCAGGCTCCCATGCCCCACCATAAAGCACTCTGTGATCTTGTAGCCTTTCAGCTGTTGTCTGTTGTCACTCAATATTATAACTGACAGCAAGGAAGACATTGGGCTATTGGCCCCTTTTCACATACAGACTGAGGTTCAGGAGAATATAGTTCATATTATGCCACCTTTTAATGCAAAAAAACATGCCCAAAGGCAAAAATCAGTTTGGCTTTAATTAAAGAATGCTCCCCAAATGCCTTTCGAAAACACAAGAGCCTCACAAAATTCATAACTGAAACCAATGAGATGAATAATTAAACTGGAGACAATCATCATTCACATTTCATATTTAGTAAAAAGAATGATTTTACAAGTATTAAAGATGGGAGTACTGAACAGAAGCTATAAGACACCTTTTCTACCTTTTCTTCACCTAAGACCCCATAGGAAATATCCCAGGCTTTTCTTCACAGTGTTATTCATATCCCAAAAGTTAGGAGCCTTATCCAGCCTCATAAAAAAGAATTTTAGCATCTTTAGCTATAAAGCAGATCAGTATTTTAAGGACCTCGAGTCTCTCCTCGCTGGTTCCTCAACCTCCTGAAAAAGAACTCAGTAGTAGCACTGATCATGTTATGCTTTGAGATCTCCTTGTGAGGAGCCCTGTGCTCACCCTGAGATCCCACAGAGCAGCCCAAGGAAATCAAAAGCAAGAACAACTCTTTCCTCAGCACACCTTCTGTCTCCCTTTCTAGGATGGTTTTAGGTTTAGCTACATGTCCTGAATGCAGGAAGGCAGGTTCTCAGGTAACATGTACTAAAATGAGTAACCATTTCACCAATGCTCATCATCAACTGCTTCATAAAACTACAGCATCCACACCTGGATAGCAAAGGCAGGTTATAAAATACACTGATTTGTACCTTAAGATCGAGCTGCTAACAATCTTTATTTTTTTCAGGTCAGTATAAAAAAAAATCCAGTGCTTTATGAGTAGTACATTATACCAGTAAAGACTTCTGTTAAAACACAGAGGTAATTTGGTAGATAGAAATGCTACTAGAGGATTCATTCTAAATGTGAAAGGTTGAAGGAGTGAACAAAGGGAAACCTTCTGGGAAAAAAAATAAATTCTTCTAATGACTAAGAAGCTTTTGTGGGATTTCCCCCCCCCCCAGCTATGAGTGATCTAAATTAAATGGTGGCAGGTTTCCAGGTGCTTATAAAATGTCTAATGGGGCTAGAACTTGCCATCAAGAAATTACTAGTTCCCATTAGCTTTAAAGAGGGTATAAGATGAGTCAGATTCTACAGATCACTGTGGATGTGCCTGGGAGAAGCCCATGTTCCACCCAGCTGCAGAAAGTTTCATGAATTGTCAGATACTCCTAAAGGACATGGAGCTCATGTCAGAATTGGGATCAAAGAATCTGCATATACACACAGAGATAAGTGACACCAAATTAACACAGCCTTCCACAAACTGGGTGAAAAGGAACCCTCCAAGACCGAAGGAATGACTGGCAGGAAGCTTGAAAAATAAGGTGCCTCTTCTGCTCACTGAGAGGGGCAAGGGAGCTCCACATGTACCTAACTCACCGTTCTGCAAATTGTGAAAGGGGCCTTAAATCCTGTTTGGTGGGTGGGCTTGCTATGGAATGTAGACATAAAGATTAGTGTTTAGACAACCCCATTCCTGCAGAACAGCCCTCTGCTTTTCATCAGTTGATACCACTGCAGAGAAAATCGCAGAGTGCTGTGGGTCAAACCCTCGTGTTATGGGACTGTGGGGTAGAACCTGTCATGGCCTTCAACAGATACATGACTTGGCCTTAAAATATAGATGTATATTGAAATACATATTGAAATCTTCATCTGCAGACTACACTGCAGCACAACACGATAAAAGAATGAAGCTTGGACACAGGTGGGCAGGATATATCAAAAGTAGCTTGCACAGGGGTCCCACGGGGTGTTGCTCCTCGTGTCTGAGGGTGCAAACTGCCCAAGATTGTCTCAGAGCATGGGCTGGGATTCCGCCCCTTGGAGCCCCTGGGCTTGGCAGAGGCACCACTTGGCTGCAAACCATGGCCCTGCATAAATCACTTCCCCACTTGCTGCCCTTTGTCCTTGCTCCCATTTTTATCTCTCCCTTGTTTAGACAGGACAATGGCTGTACCACGCCGTGTGCTCGTACATTAGCCAGCACAATCTTAATTACAGACTTCAGGCATCATCATGATTAGAGTAATAAGCTGTAATTACTCTAAGGTGACAGGACTGCAGAGACCTTATCTACATAGATAAGAAGATGTAGTAATATTTCATGTCGAGATGTATTTGTCAGCAGCTGCCCATGGAGTGGATTCAAACTAAGCACCAGACCCCACAACCACATTCAGTCTCTGATGGAGGTTTTTCTCCTCTCCTGCCAGCACGCAAGCCCACACATTATTAAATAAATCCTACAAACATATTAGGCACAGTTTAAAACCATCTTATTCAGAGATATCTTTCATCAGTAAAGTGCCTTAAGTGTATCAGGAAGGTGACTTAAATGTATAAATATGTAATTACATGCAATTCAATACAAAAGTGCATTAATATTTATGAGTGTACTGTATAATCTAAAAAAAATTCCATTTGTTTTATTTCTATTGGGCACATTAATCAACCTGATACCACTGTACGTGCCATGGTGGGGAGGAGCTGCCCCTGCTGCGATGTCAGGAGGCTGCTGGAGCCTGGTGGGGTGTCCCTGCAATCCCCTCAGCTCCAGGCAACATGAACAGCTTCAGTCCAAGCCCTCCATCTGGGGAGGGAAGGAGAAGCAGCCTCTGTGGGGCCATCAGATAATTTCTCAAGGTAGGAGGCTGGAAGGACACACTCATCAAGTGTTGTGCTCTCAGGGAGCTGTGCCTGATTTATTTCAGCAGGGTCCCTCTTCCTGCTCCGTAAATAACAACTCGCTGATTAAAAACCAGCCCCCAGTGGCAGCAGAGCAGTGCTTTGGGGGGCACCCACATCACCCCCATGAACCTCACCCAAGAGCTGCTGCCCTTCCCTCCTGCCCCTGCCCTCGGACAACAACTAAAAACTACATGCAAATAACAGGAACTCTGCTCCACTCCTTACAGGGTTTTTCTATGGGAACACAGGTTGAAAAGCAGCACTGTAAACGCAGTGTGTAGCAAATGCACTGCAGAAATTTCTCCAGAAGAACATTTCAGGTGCTGCTCAGAGATTTCAAGCCTTTTCCAAAACATCCTTGTGGGTTATCATTACAATTCCAGTGTTGCAAGAACTTATTTTCTGAATTTGCACGAAATGTGACCTCAGTAAAGCACAAATTTTAAAAACTGATTATTAAAACCAGGTGTAGCTTACAGTGTAGTGCTAGTTAAACCAAATAACAACTGCAATGTTCTACAACTATATTCCAATTATTTGCTCCTCAGGTTCTTGCTAAAGTCCACTACAGCATTATATCAGAGCCCAACAATTTATCCTTCATTCCAACAGCTGAGAGAAGTCCTGCAGTTTGGTCAGCACAGAATTACAGAGTGGTTTGGGTTGGAGTGAATCTTAAAGCTCATCCCGTTCCACCCCCTGCCATGGGCAGGGACACCTTCCACCAGCCCAGGGTGCCCCAAGCCCTGTCCAGACTGGCCTTGGACACTTCCAGGGATGGGGTAGCCACAGCTTCTCTGGGCAGCCTGTGCCAGGGCCTCCCCACCCTCACAGGGAAGCATCACACAGTGGGAGAGATCAGCTGCGAATCCAGGACAGCAACATGCACAAACAGCTGCACAAAATGAACCAAACCCCTCAGAATCAGAAACACTGCCAGTCTGAGAGCACCAAATTTGCCATTGCATCTTGACAGTCTTCATTGACTCATACCATGTTTCCATTACACCGGGGAAGAATTTTTATAGCTGATGGATGAAAATGCCCCAAGACTTCAATACCTTTCTCATGTTTCATAATTTGCTATTTTAATTCTGGCAGAAATAAGATGTAAAGGTCTGAAAACAATGCACTGACCAGTCCCTATAATCT